CAGTACGAAGGATGCCGCGTATCGATAATTTATAATTCATTATCATTCCTCGCTTTGGCTATACTAATCACCTATAACAGGATATAATAATTATGACTGTAAATAATTATGACTCTTATGACTTTCGTTATATCAATTCTTCTTAAGTTAATAAAATTACGCGAGCATGGTGTTTCTATACAAACCATCGTAATTTGCTCGTCTATTCTTGCTATACGTTATATTATTTTTTAAATAATTCTCTATTTTGCATGACATTTTCATGTATCTTTGGTATACTATTAATTTTCATCACACTTTATACCTCAATTATTCCGTAACTCCATTTATCCAGGACCTCATTATTCGTCTTTCCGACGTTCATTCAAAATCATATATCAATTTGCAAAATAAATCGTTATATCGATCTGTTGGAAAATGAGATTTTGTGCAAGCTGTATAACTAAGCGCTATTTGTAACATTAGGTATGCAGGTATTTCTCTATCTGTATACATATTTGAATATAAAAATATTTTAATCAACAAAGTACGAATGTTATAATTAAATATGAATATTATACACGAATTGTGTTACGTGCAGATTTGCTTCGGACCCCAAGTTTCAACATGACTTCGAAGATCTAAACGAGATTTGTTATATTCAAAATATCTAATATAAGAAGTCGTAGAACTTCGGACGCGTGTATGTCGTGACTTCCAATAAAAATCCTATAAAATTTTCTTCGAAGTTGTGTCATGTAAGTTTATACAATATCAAACTCGGCAGCGAAATTTATAGGATTTCCGTTCTTCTATAACATACATAAACTGTATCAACTTCGTTTCAAATTAGGCCTCTTTACCATTCGGTTCTACAAGTTCTCCTTTTATATAATAAATATTTTATCCTGATGGGTGAATAGAAAGTCTACGAATTGATTAATAGGACCTATCGCAGATAGCGACATGCCGCGTGACGGTGGTGCTCTAACGAGATTTGGACCAAACACAACGGCGAGATTACTCGACGTCATTTTGTTTAAATCACATCGATCCATCACCTGTTACAAGTATATAAATTATTCTATGAAATCACGAGGCTAAATAAGAACCAACATCATAATTATTAAAATAACGATAGCTTACCCTCGATAAAAATTGTACAATGTATTTCAAAAGCTGATAATTGTCCTCTGGAAGTTTCTCAAGCACTAATATTTTAACTCTTCTTGGACGCTCGTCTTTTGACAGAGCTGAAACAATAATAACGTTAACACGTATGTTACGTGATGTGCTGTTAACAAAAGTACGTACCTTGAAATTGTGTTATTTCGTCGTACAAATCGTACGTCATAAGAGGCTCGTCTAATTCGCGAAGAAATGTTTTAAGAAGAACGGCTGCTATGTGCGGATCTCCTTGGAAATTAACGGGTAATCCTTGATTACACCGATGCTGAAGTTCTTTAACTACTGCTACGTTCGCGGATCTTCTAAATATTCCTTCTGTCTCTAATGCTATAAAATTATAGTATCGTTATTAATAAATCATTTTTGAAAAATAAAATACTGATTTTTATAGATGCAAGTTTTACCATCCGGCGTATCAAGGAATTCGATACACTGTCTCACTATTGGTGGTATGGCATCGCCGTTGTTGTTCTCTTTAATAAACAACAGACTCGCTCCAAATTGAGTGGTTCCAACCGGTGTTGTTACCGTACTCTGAGGTGGACTCGTTGGTAAATTCTTTTTGTTCTTTAACATTAGCTGTTCATTGTGTCTACAGGAAGTAAGAACTTAATCAATATCAAATTAAATAACTCTGAAAGTTTCAAAATTGACAAAGGAAATACTTACTCTATTACTTGGGGAGGTATAATAAGTTGATCAAGATTAACGTATTGTGCCAGTTCTTCCAAATAATTGACATACATCATTTTCCGACCAAACTTCGCACTGGGATCATAGAACCAACAATATATTTGATTTAACAATTAGAAATATTTATTAACTTGTACACTAAATTTAGTTGGTAATTAGTTACAAAGTAAAAGATTTACTAATTACATGCACAATATTCATCGGACTAAAGTACAATATTCTATTCTATCACAGGTACGTATATGGATTATAAACATCCACAAATTCATTTATAGTAGAAACATAAACGTTATCTCGTTAATTGTAATTCGTTTGTCCATAACATGATCTGAGACGGTCGGATGTAGATTTGTGATCGAGTTATTACTAATTTTAGGAAAGAAATCTAGAGCGTCAGAAACAGTTATTAGAAAATTATACATTGTGTAGTATACATATTATTCTAGTATTCTCATATAAATTAATTATACTTTGTTACAATATGTTCAATCTATCGATAACAAGGAATGTAATTGAATCGTGTCAGTTCTATATAGGTCCGGGTTAGTTTCCTTCCATAATAGAGAATGCCAAGGCGATTAACCGCCTCTGTATTATCCCAGGAACCCATAATGGCAGGACTATTTAAGAAAATGTACAAATATATATGATAGTGGAGAGATTAGTATAAGTCTTTTATCCTTGAAATGACAAGACATTACACTAAGTATTACATTTTATAATACCCTGACAATAATTTTAATCTAATCGTTAAATTATTATGTGCAAACGAATAATAATTTTCGCGTTGAGATTTTTAATTAAACAACTATATAATGTGCTCTCTCATTTGTTGTTGGATCTTTTACTAATAATTCTTTATTGTATTAAAAATTATAAACTTTATTTAATTTTATTTAAAGAATGCATTAGAATTTCTTTTAGATGAGTTATTAAAAAGAAACAAAATAATTTCATTTAGTGAAATTAAGCCTGTAGCATTGTTAGATCTCGCGTATATACATATACATAGTCTCAGTACGAAGGATGCCGCGTATCGATAATTTATAATTCATTATCATTCCTCGCTTTGGCTATACTAATCACCTATAACAGGATATAATAATTATGACTGTAAATAATTATGACTCTTATGACTTTCGTTATATCAATTCTTCTTAAGTTAATAAAATTACGCGAGCATGGTGTTTCTATACAAACCATCGTAATTTGCTCGTCTATTCTTGCTATACGTTATATTATTTTTTAAATAATTCTCTATTTTGCATGACATTTTCATGTATCTTTGGTATACTATTAATTTTCATCACACTTTATACCTCAATTATTCCGTAACTCCATTTATCCAGGACCTCATTATTCGTCTTTCCGACGTTCATTCAAAATCATATATCAATTTGCAAAATAAATCGTTATATCGATCTGTTGGAAAATGAGATTTTGTGCAAGCTGTATAACTAAGCGCTATTTGTAACATTAGGTATGCAGGTATTTCTCTATCTGTATACATATTTGAATATAAAAATATTTTAATCAACAAAGTACGAATGTTATAATTAAATATGAATATTATACACGAATTGTGTTACGTGCAGATTTGCTTCGGACCCCAAGTTTCAACATGACTTCGAAGATCTAAACGAGATTTGTTATATTCAAAATATCTAATATAAGAAGTCGTAGAACTTCGGACGCGTGTATGTCGTGACTTCCAATAAAAATCCTATAAAATTTTCTTCGAAGTTGTGTCATGTAAGTTTATACAATATCAAACTCGGCAGCGAAATTTATAGGATTTCCGTTCTTCTATAACATACATAAACTGTATCAACTTCGTTTCAAATTAGGCCTCTTTACCATTCGGTTCTACAAGTTCTCCTTTTATATAATAAATATTTTATCCTGATGGGTGAATAGAAAGTCTACGAATTGATTAATAGGACCTATCGCAGATAGCGACATGCCGCGTGACGGTGGTGCTCTAACGAGATTTGGACCAAACACAACGGCGAGATTACTCGACGTCATTTTGTTTAAATCACATCGATCCATCACCTGTTACAAGTATATAAATTATTCTATGAAATCACGAGGCTAAATAAGAACCAACATCATAATTATTAAAATAACGATAGCTTACCCTCGATAAAAATTGTACAATGTATTTCAAAAGCTGATAATTGTCCTCTGGAAGTTTCTCAAGCACTAATATTTTAACTCTTCTTGGACGCTCGTCTTTTGACAGAGCTGAAACAATAATAACGTTAACACGTATGTTACGTGATGTGCTGTTAACAAAAGTACGTACCTTGAAATTGTGTTATTTCGTCGTACAAATCGTACGTCATAAGAGGCTCGTCTAATTCGCGAAGAAATGTTTTAAGAAGAACGGCTGCTATGTGCGGATCTCCTTGGAAATTAACGGGTAATCCTTGATTACACCGATGCTGAAGTTCTTTAACTACTGCTACGTTCGCGGATCTTCTAAATATTCCTTCTGTCTCTAATGCTATAAAATTATAGTATCGTTATTAATAAATCATTTTTGAAAAATAAAATACTGATTTTTATAGATGCAAGTTTTACCATCCGGCGTATCAAGGAATTCGATACACTGTCTCACTATTGGTGGTATGGCATCGCCGTTGTTGTTCTCTTTAATAAACAACAGACTCGCTCCAAATTGAGTGGTTCCAACCGGTGTTGTTACCGTACTCTGAGGTGGACTCGTTGGTAAATTCTTTTTGTTCTTTAACATTAGCTGTTCATTGTGTCTACAGGAAGTAAGAACTTAATCAATATCAAATTAAATAACTCTGAAAGTTTCAAAATTGACAAAGGAAATACTTACTCTATTACTTGGGGAGGTATAATAAGTTGATCAAGATTAACGTATTGTGCCAGTTCTTCCAAATAATTGACATACATCATTTTCCGACCAAACTTCGCACTGGGATCATAGAACCAACAATATATTTGATTTAACAATTAGAAATATTTATTAACTTGTACACTTACCAACGAGGATATACTCACCTAATGGCTGGCTTAAATATTTGCCATACGATTCTAATGAAATTGGTTGGATGCACTAAATACAAAGCTTTCAAATTTTTTTTATACTTTCTGTCAAAAGCTTTATATGCTTGCCATAACCAGGATAGTGGTGGTTTATTTTTTGACGTGAGACCATAGTGGAAGTAAACTAGGCTATAATCCTGTTCTACAAACGTGTCTAAAGTATGCGTGAGATACCTGTCAAACAAATAGATCATTATAATGAGGCTAGTTCTATGAAGTACACATATTCACGATACAAACCTGAGAAGTTTGGCATGGTTAAACGTTTCCTTCCCAATGGGAGGTAATTTACATGCAGATACTACTATTATTTTACGACCAGCACTATCATCACCGACCACTTCTACAATGCCATGTCTTGCAATGTCAAGATAATCTTCTTCGTCCGCGAGTTCACCATCCAACGCGGCGAGATCTTCTGCTACTCAGCATAAAAGATTATATTCACAGTAATGTTTGTCTGTTTTTTTTAAGTCGATTGCTTTTTCTTCTGGTTTCCTGCTTTCAACTCTTTTCATTTCATAAATACCCAAAATAATTTAATTGCAAATAAGGCAGCGACGAACAGAGAGTTGTTCGATCTTCGATTTGTGCATTTTTATACCATGCAATAAATAAACTATACAATGATCTACATAATTCACCTGCTAAGCCCCAAATGCCATGACATTTAGTGGCTACTAACAGAAGATAAAAGGTCACACACCGGATTCGATAACTGGAGCATCTACCAAAGCTTCTTCAAAGTTCTCTTCGATAGTCCCATCGCTCACCGGACTCTCCAGATAATCTGTTCCTGTACCAGCACCAGTGCTGATTAAATCCAATTTCTCTTCTAAAAATTGTACAGGTGCACAATAATTACATTTGATTATATCACAACATGACTGCGTGAGACTACGTATAAAAAATTGATATTAGAATTAAAATGTACTTTGCAATTATAACAGGATTACGTTCATACAGGGTGCAAATTATTTATAACTGGTATTTATAACAAGCGAAAAGGGATGAAAAAATAAGTCGAAAATATAGAATAACATTTTTTCATCTGAGACTTTTTTTCGAGATAATCTCGATTTCGAATTTGAAAGAATACTCGCCGAGGGTTCGTTATGCTATTTGAATACTTCGTCTGTCAGGATGTCGACGATTGGGATGTGTCTGTAATAATTACCTGCGGCTGATGAGTTTCCATCATATGCACCTAACGAAAGTATCGTGTCCTTACATTCCTGATTGCTGTATGTAGACATGATGGCAGACGGATAACTACTGATAGATACTGATAGTATTTGACAATAAAGGTAAGATAGTAATATGATAGATAAAATAAATATTTCCGTGATGTTGAAAGTGTTTATCAACGTGAACTACAATCAAGGCAATGACCTAGTGAGATCCGTTATAAGGAGACACATCAAATGACAATAATTCAAAGTTCGGTTTTCTCGAAAACGAAGCTTCACATAAAAAAATTTTATTCTACATTTTCTACTTATTTTTTCATGTAAAATCATCCCACTTTCGCTTGCACCACCAGTCACCCTGTATATTTAAAAATCTGGAGTATATCGACATAAATACCTTACCATTATTTGAAGTGGTCTGCAGCTCCGTATCATCGAACTCCAAGTTGGGCTCATAATCATGATTATCTGACAAACTTGGGTATGGGTCTTCGACGTCATTAGCTATTGCTATCATACAAACAGAAGTATGCGCATTATTGTTCGTACCAAATATGTTTCAATGAATCACGGAACGCTACATCGACCATCGCTATTCTTTATTTGATCAATGACTTTGCCTTCGTAAGTATCTATGAATCTCGACGGTGCTCAGTAACAATGAGATAATAAATAAATGTACGTTTGCGAATAAACATCGTTATGAGTCTGATGAAATCTCGCGGTTTCTCGTCATACGTAATTATCTTTCCCCCGATCGCATTTAACGGCGTATGATCTCCGACGAACGAAATAATTTGCTGCGTTTCATTGGTGTTTACAAACTGCTATACGTGGATCGTGGAACTTAAAAAGAACGGATTCTCTAGCGATACGTGTGTGCATTTGAAAAGTGACAAACATAATTATATGTATGTATATCGAGTTATGATCAAATCATTGAATTTTTTAATACGCACTATCGTGTGAATACGCGAATTATTCAGTCACTTATTGATGTGCTTTTCCACATAGGAGACCGAGATCCATCGTGAAATGTTTTCTCGCTAGAACGAACAGAAAAAACGTCCATGCCAGGTGAACCTTTTTACAAATCACGATTGTTCGGCGAATATGATATTGTACTTGATCTGACGGTTACTTGACACCTAAAGAGAACGTCAACAATCGCGACGGAGCGAGCTCACCTGTCAAAGTTCGTGTCGGGCTCAGCGTCGGTTGATAGTCTGCTTCCATTTTCTGGCAACTGCGCGATAAAACAATGCCGAGCGATCACATTTACTGGCTATGTGGGCCCTCGCGCTGCCTTGCTTTACAAACGGACAACGTTTTTCTTCTCGTACGACATTATCTCAACGCGGTGTACGGCAAACGGGCAAACCAGCGTATTCACGTCACGCTTTCATTTGTTGTGTCGCTAATTGCAATTCGTAGATCTGAAGTCACCCGTCGACTCCCTTTCCCTACCCCGCGACTAACCGATGTATGTATTGGCTGTTTTCACGGGAGGCAAAAGTGTGCTTTTACGGTATAAAGTTATAAACGTTGCGCGCTGAAAATATAAAAACCACGTGACGCGTTTCAGCGTTAAATTAAGATTAACCGAGGTATGTTTTAACGAAAATAAATAAGTATCTAAATATAGATTGTTCGAGCAGTAAACGATTAACTTAATATAATGTACGTAAATTTATTCCAATTAAAGCAAAGATATTGTCGTATAAGAAAGAACTGTAAAGTAGTAAGGAAGTCTAATTGCTTCGTCTCAAATTTGTTAATATAGTACAAGATTCTAGAAATTTTTTTGAAATAGATAATCTCATATCTATGCGCATGCATTATTGTTATAGTTTATTACGTGCAATAGAAAAGACTAAAAATTACAAAGGTTTCAGCAGTATGTAATTATTAAATGAAAAGTTATTACCAAATTTTAATATATATCGTAGTATAAAACAACCGACTG